CCCCCCCCCCCCCCCCCCCCCCTCCCTCTCTCGTTCTTGTAAAATACACTGCCTGTTTATGTTTTGAACACATACCGTAGGGAGAGTGCACAATACATGGAAGTTCCGTTCCTCCTGTCGGACATTTCTCACCAGAGGGCCAGCGGTGCCGTACGTACGTATGGAAGGTCAACACAGGAGATTTATTTTGTCAACCTCCATCTCCTCTTCACCAGTGCTGTAAAATGCACGGCTCACAGTACTACCGGTCGCCCCGGTGGTCTCGTGGTATCGTCGTAATCCGCTTGTCGCAGAGGTCGTGGGTTCGAATCCCCATGGGGTGAAAAAATTACGAAATGTGCGGGTGAAAGTGAAATATAGCTGACAAGCTCTCGTGAGTACCAAACTTCGACGTTAGCACCGTTGACGAGGGCAAGGGACGGCTAGACCCTTTTCGCGATAAAAATAACATTCAGCACGCACCGCAGGAGGAAGGTGGGGCATGAAAAGAAATAACAAGAAGGAAAAAGCCCTGGTGTTAACCCCCTCCTGTGTGACCCTGGATGGTTGTAGTTGTACGAGAAAACACACTGAAAAGTGTAGTACTCTACATACGCTGAAAAGTATAGTACACGTCTCATCACGAAAAATGGGGGGACTGTCGCCATAATATATATAATAGGACGAAAACACACACATACACAGCATGCATACATACCGTGCGTAGAGCGCACAGCAGCATTCTGTCCCTCCTGGCATGTTCTCTCTGATGTATCTGACAATTGAGTCAACGCTACGTATGTGTGTATTGTGAGTCACTCGCCGTCTGCATCCGTGGCTTCAGTCAAGACAAGACGCGAGGCGGTGCATTGAGGGCCCCTCATCGAAGATTCAGTGGTTCACTCTAGCGTCATCATGTTCCCTCTAACTTCATCACATTTACTCATGTAGCTAGATCATTTTCCTCTATCTTTATCATACCACGCACTCTAATTCTTTCATAAGCTTTGGCATCTTCACCCCAGCTTCATCAAAATCACTGTGTTGCTACTCGGGCGGGGAATCGTAGAAACACACAGGTAGTGTCTGCTAACGATACGAATTTACTCATTGCGAGTCTATCCCAGACTCTTGTCTGCGGAAGGAAGGACTTGTCTTCCAAAACCCCCAAAAATACTTGATTAAAGTCTTCAAATTCAAGTTGTTTCGTTGTGTTCTTGAAGAAGAGAAGCACGCACACGCCTCCGTAGCACCGTTCGTTCCTTGTCTTGTCAACGGTGTGTATGGTGTGGTGAAACAGGTCACCGGTGACCCCTTATCTTGGGCGATGAAACAGGATACCACCGAGCCGAAACGTTGTTCGTCCCTTGTCTTGTCAACGGTGTGTATGGTGAAACAGGTCACCGATGAGGAGCTAAGCCGCGCCAGGAACATGCTAAAGTGCAACGTTCTCACGCACCTGGAGTCAAGGCTCGTGCTGTTCGAAGACATCGGCAGACAGATGCTAACCTACGGACGAAGAGAAACGCCGGAGGCAAGTTTCAGCAGCAGTAGCCTAGTCAGTCGAGCGTCACCGCACGTTACAAGCTGGTCTGACCAAGAAGCCTACTTTCGTTCTTTCACGTCCCACTCTGCTGTTTCTACGAATTTAGACTTCAAATTTGGCGGCTGCTCTTATAAGGCCATAGGCGAAGCGCAGGTGCCAGAATTTTCCGGATCTGAGTTGAGTTAGGTATATAATTATCAATATGGCGGCATGGTGGGGGATACTTCCTGTGTGAAATCAGCATAAAAAACCTTTCTCAGATCAAGCTGAAAATTGCTGTGCATGTACCAGGGAACAACGCGAGAGGATAGATGGTAGTTCCAAGGCTCACAGCATCTTCCATCGGAAGTTATGGCCTCGTAAAGAATCCGATACAACACACAAGATACCTGAGAGAATGTGAGGATATCGCGATTCTCACGTGGTTTATTCGAATTAGAAGCTGAAATTTCGGCACTGCATCCTCATGAGTACAACAAATAAAAAGCCACTGCGCCATTTGAGTTTTTTCTTTTTTTCTTCGACGTTTTCGCATAGCTAATATTCCCATGAATATTGATATCAGCCTAACTCGTGAAAAAATACATATGTGTTTGTTGCACTCATGCAGATGCCGTGTCAAAATTTCAGGTTCTAATTAAAAAATTCCGCGTGGGAAATCCGCTCCCATCTTCAAATCCGCGTCTATGTTTTCGGTTATACCACTCTCCCGCTCCGCGTCACTCTCCTCCTCAGTCGTTTTTTTTATGCCCCTCCCCCGCCCCCTGCCTCTATCTCGTCTCTCACCTCTCTCNGTAGCCCCCCCCCCCCTCCTTTATCTTCTACCCTTCCATGCCACAGGAGGTTTGCGCCAAGATCGACGCCGTAACGGCAGAAGACCTCATGACGGTGGCAAGGCGCGCCCTGGCGACCCCCCCCAGCCTGTCCGTGGTAGGGAGCGATCTCAATGGGGTGCCCACCTACGAGCAGGTGTGCTCGTGGTTCATGAAGCCCCCGCTGGAGCAAGAGATGAAGGCTGGCCGAGGAGGAACACAGTAGTCATGGCTCCCGTATCAGAACATCAGCACGCCGATCATCACGGCCTAGCTCGTGCAGGACGACAGCAAGATGCTGGCTAGAGTGGTCAAGGCCAAGATCGAAAAGACAACTCTTGGACAGGTTCGTTCGTTCGTTCGTTTCCTAGGGGATGAATGCATGGCTGGAAGGTGTGTTGGTTAAAGAATAGCGTCAGTGCGATCATCGGAACGAAACAAGTGTTTTGATTTCAGTGGTAGGACAAGGCGTGTTGGTTCTATAGAACAGTCGTGGCTCCGATAAGAGGGTTAGTTACAAGAGGGGCCCCCCAACATGAGAGGTTGTCACGGATTCGACCCACTATAGCATAGTCGGGTACCCTCTTATTCGGGTGTAAGAGGTGCTTCCGATGTATGTGAGGGTCGAAAGATCGGTTGTCGCGGACTCGATCCGCTACAGTATGGTTGGGTACTCTATTGAAGAGGAAGCTCCGCTACAGGAGGCCTTTGGTCATTCCACCCTCTTGTGTCAGAGTCATGAACAAGCTTTTTTTGTATGACACTGGACCTTTGCGGGCCCCGTTCATTTTCTTGTGTGTTACGAGGTATGGATGCCGTTTCGACTGGTAGGCCCTGTTGGTTGTCTCATGTGTTAAAGAATGGTGGCATTTCTTTGGATAAACTCGCAGGCCCTGTTGTTCTCTTGGGCGTCAGAGATAGATGGCTCTTCTTTCGAGAAATGGGCAGGCCCTGGTGTCTGTCAGAGATTGATAACGTTTCTTTGGCCATCATGCCTTTATGCGACGGAGTGATTGGGTCGTCCTGGACCATGACGGGGGCGTGGGGCGTGGTCACGTTTTACAATGCCTTAGCGGCTAGACCGCTGACCACGCATCTTCGAGAGGACCGGGTATTGTTCCCACAGAACCGATCACCGCCCGGGGGGGGGGGTTCGCGCTCGGTCGTATCCCTGCCCTTGGAGGTGTGGGCTAGCTCGGCGATGGGGAAGAGGAGCAGGCAAAGTCGAACTTCTGAATTTTTTTAGAGGGTCTTGTTCGTGTTGGTGGTTTCAAGGGGATATACCTTGGTGGTGGAATTTTGGTGTTATCCGCCATGTGTGGGTTCCGCTGACTTCAGCCACGATCTATGACACTGACCGACCAGTAGAGGTGGAGGAGGAGATAGGGGAACCAGCACCATGATAATTTTCTGTCGTCACACGAAGAAACGTTCCGTCATGTGTGCCTGCTTGTGACTACAATAGGCTGATGTGCTTGACCTGCTTTCTGGACTATAATACGGGGGGGGGGCGGGTAGCCCCGTTCCGACTGTGAAGCCCCCCTCGTCTTCCCCTCGGAGGTTGTGGGTGAGGCGGCGCACCACGCGTAACAGGCACGTGAGGCTCCGTAAAATCCATGTTTGCTTGAATATGAAAGTGGTTCAACCGTCCGTAGGTAAACGTATCCCTAGAACCCTCCTAAGGCCTTCCCGAAACCCATAAGAAACCACAACCGGCGCGATGACGGTGGAAGGTATCAGAACAACTCATCTATATGTCGCCCTGCTGGAACATGCTGCACAGATAACCATGGGTATGCCCGAAGCCGCCACGCACACCCGGGACACATAGCCTGCTCCCCTTGAGATCCTGTTCTTGCGATCACCACAGATGACTCACAAGGTTTTACATTCAAGTAGGGAACTACGTCCACGCGCCGTAGCTATTGGAAGAGTTTTTTCCCGTTTCTGTCCCTCCTTTTCCCGTTCTCGCGACGGAGTTGGGGGGGGGGGGAATAAGGAAGCAGACTACCGTTGAGACCAGGGCTACAAACGGGCTGTTGTCATCGTTATCGTTAACTCACTCTGGCGTCCAGGGGAAACAACCGCGTGTTTCCCGTTCTTCAACGGCGTGGACCGCTTTTTAGTCTCTTCTCGTTTTACATGAACCCCTACCCCCACCAAAAACAACGACGCGTGCATTGAAGAGCGAACACGGGGCCGATAAACAACACACAACACAACCCGTTACACTAGGCGATCGATCGTCCGCTCTCAACCACCCCAATGCTCTCCTCATCACTCCCACATTCTGCGAGCCACCGGGTTGGTTCTTCGACACACGTGGACCACCCGTCAACCAAGTGACAGCTAGGTGAGGCGTCCAGACGGGATTATCGGCTAGACGCGTTTACCCCAGTGACGGCTGGGCACATAACGCCCACTACCCACTCACCCGCATGCATCTACACCAAGACTGCTTTCGTAACCTCAAGCAAACCAAAGTACCGGGCGCCAATGGTTTGGTGAACTAATGGCAAGAGAGGTCATCTCCACCCACAAACTAGCTTCTCATCCGATGCCCGCTTGTCTTCCCATCGTCAAGCCGACACGAGCAGCATATTCTGTTCAACTGTCTTCGCCATTCGACAAACCAACCCGGTCTCCTTTGTCCGGCCACTCAACTCAAGTCAAATGGCGACGACAAAGATTGCCTCGTGTATGCACACGGTGTAACGTGTAAAATGGAAACCCACGGCGGGAGAGAGAGAGAGAGAGAAAAAGAGAACAAGAGAAAACAGCACTCTTGTCCAACACTCTGTAGTTGCACGAGAAATTCGAGCAGCACGCAACACCGGCCAGCCAAGAGCTAAGCAATGGCCATTGACTCCACCCGAAGAGTGAAAGGAACATGAATGCCAAAGGGTACTCATTGATGTTCGCGTGCATCCCCCCATCTGTAGACATCTGGCCCTTACACAGCAGCTACGCCCATGCACGATTTGCGCCTCCTGGGCTCGTCGTCGAGGTACGATCCCCTACATTCCGACCCTCGCGATGTCTTAAGCCCTCACGAATGTTTTAGCCCTCACGATATCTTAACCCTCACGATGTCATAGCCCTCGCGACATCTTAGCCCTCACGGTATCAATACCTCACGATGTCTTAGCCCTCACGATATCTTAGCCCTCGAGAAGTCCATTTCCGGGTGCTGACAAGAAAAAACGAAAAAAATAGCAGCACGGGTGCCAACGAAGCAGTCGCATAACAAATGGCACCGGGGGGGTAGGGGTGCGGTACTCAAATTATTGCTTGCCGAGTACCTGGTGTAGCAAAGCGTAAATTGACGATTGACTTGACCTGTAATGACCTTCGAGGCGGACGGCGGTCCGGAGGTACTTGTGATAAGAAGGACGTAAGTAGCAAGTAGAAGCCTATATGTTCGTGGTGAGATTTGAGAGGTGGACCATGAGGCGCCCATCAAGCGAATTTTTGACCGCACACACAGTAGATGTACATGCCAGCAACCAACGACAACAACAACAACAACAACATCAGCAATTAATCCACAACAACAGTCAAAACAACCAACACAACATCATAGTAGATGCACATGCCAGCAANNACAACAACAACAACAACAACAACAACAACAACAACAACAACAACCACAACAACAACAACAACAACAACAAACGCAGACAAAAAAAAAAAACGTACCTGCGCCATGAACTTTCCGAGCATTTCCTGCTTGCTCATCTCGTCTGCGGTAGGCAGCCCCTGAGCCTTCTGGCGCTGATCGAACTGCTCCCCCAGACGGAACCAAGAGAACAAGACAGAGCGAGGAGTACGCCGCAGAGTTGAAGGAAAAACAAAAAATGCTACGAACGAAAATCAAAATAGGACCGCCTTCGCGAGCATGTTGAGCGGTATAGTCTTTGCATATGTGAAACAGATACAGGGGTTTCGTAACCCTGATCCGTAACCCAGACCCGTAACCCCTGCTGAAACCAAGCTTCATGTCCTCGTGAAGACTACTGAGGACGCCGGGACTGACAGTTTGACGAGAAAATACTTTTCATATGTTCAAACGTAAAATATCCGCAAGGATCACCGGCAAGCAGCAGTGGGTATAGCGACAACGAAAGAACTTTCGAATAAAACATCACATCGTCAAAACAAGCGTTCAAACCGGATATATTTTGTTACATTTCTTCACGAAGCTAGCACCAGTCCCGGGGTGCCATACGTTGCGTCTACCTCTTGGTCGCACCCACTCGCATCTCTCGAAAATAACACATGTTTTGTTCTCAAAAAGTCACTATTTATTGCTGTTGTCTCCACACCTAAAAACCGTTCCGGTCTCCACTCAGCACCTTTAAACGTCTGTACTGGTCCAACTGACGCGGACGCCTGCGGTGGCCACAAGCCACCTACCCCAAAAAAGGGGTACACATTTCTAGAAATCAAAGAAAAGATAATTGAAATGGACACCAGAAATATATTAACAATTCTCATCGTTTCGAGGTACCAAGTGGTGGGTAAGTTTCAAGCGGACGTTTCTGTATTGCGTGAGCGTGAGACAGAAACGGCAGACGAGTGACTGACTTACCATCATCTTCTCCACGGTCTTGCGTGTTTCCCCGTCGAGCTCGGACAGCTTGCTGCTCTCCGGTTGTACCTGAGAACATACGGTCGGTAACATATATTTAGCTTGGAAGGCGTGTGAATCCACGGGGGTCGGCGATCACCAACGCCGCAACAAACCACCCGCGTAGCACGGCCGTTACTGGAGGCTGGCCAGGGTTGGATGGTTCTCAAAAAGCATACCCCCAACAAAAACTAGCGTTGTAATGGGTGCCTGCATTCCCTCCCTCTTCTATCTGCACCATGTGGGCGGATGGGCCTGACACTACATAACTCAGACGTGAGAGTGGTCAGAGGCCCAAGGTAGCTTGGTTTTACTACACTTCCGTGGGCGTTCCAGCATCTGCCTTGCCTACTGCTGTGCTCTCACCCCGCTTGAAACGACCACACAACACGGAGATGTTTACATAGCACGATACAGCCGTCTGAAGAGGCGCTGATCTCGGGAAGCATGTTTTTTTGGTAACATTCAAGTGCACACCCGTAGCTTAGAGATGTTGATCCCCGAAGCGCATCGTCCATTTTTATTATTATGTTCAAGCACACGCTCTTGCCTTACACTACATCTGCAAGCTTCCGCAATTATTGCTGATTCATGAGGTTCATGTACACGCCCTTAGCTCACATGTGTTAACTGATCCCCGGAAGCACCATCCATTGCTTTTATACTCCGCCTGTCTTACCTTGGAAGTGTTGATCTCTGGGTCACCCTTGACGACGCACTTCCACCATTCCATTTGGTTTTCCTATTACAATGAGCCAAGTTGCCGGTAAGTCAAACAGGCCGAGGGGAAAGGGTCAGCGTCATGCATTGGCCATACATGTAGTCTTGAGGGGATATGGGAGGGGGGGGGCTGCAAACATATGCGCATTTTTTCTTAATTTGGATGACACCAAAGTAATGCCAAATGCCAAACTCTCCCGAGTGAGCACGTAACATGGGTTTGGGTACAATATTTGACACATTCATAAAGGAAAAAAAAAACGATGGTACACAACCGCGCATACTCGTGCGAGTTCACTGTCTGTACTATCGCCTTGCTGATCCTTGCCAAGAGAGGTTTCATCACGATCTGATGCGCTACTACTGCCGTACGATACACTACAGTTGAACTCATTGTTGCCCTTCGCGACCGTACCTACCGTAGCCCATACTTTTTTTCTTTTTTGAACCCACGGGTGCTGTTGTATAATCCTTCCATGTGTTTGTTGTGTTTCTTCGCAGAATCTGCATTGCCATCACGACCATCGCCATCACCTTCTGCAGCGCGATGCTGACTTCCTTCCCATCTTCAAGGGTCCAAAAGCTGTCGTCCACCTTCACTTTGTTGTACATCTCGCCCTGCATAAAAAAAAAATAGACAAAAAACTGTTAAGTCACTGCACCGTGCCGGCGTGCTTCTTGGTGGAGGGGGGGAGGGGGGGTAAATTCAAAGTCGTGCATGCCGTGGTCGTTGGACCATCGACCTCGCATGCCTACAAAGCCGGGACGGAGCACGCCGGGTTCGCACCGGACCAGGCTCTCACATCACCAAGCGCGGGATGGGGGGAGGGGGGGTAAATTCAAAGTCGTGCATGCCGTGGTCGTTGGACCATCGACCTCGCATGCCTACAAAGCCGGGACGGAGCACGCCGGGTTCGCACCGGACCAGGCTCTCACATCACCAAGCGCGGGATGGGGGGAGGGGGGGTTATCCCCTGAATGGCAGGGATAAGGTTGAGGTGAGTAGATCAAACAAAAAACACACCCCACCGGCATTCTACTACTGTAGGAATGGGAGTGATAAAATGTACACAGCAGCGTGGGCTGCAACAACGTTGCAACAGCAGTGGAAGTGGCGAGGATAAAACGGAAAGGGTTTTCGGGTGTCTCGAGATATCGAGGGCCCGGCTAAGGCATCAAAGAGTCCGATTTTGCGCGCGACCATCGCTGGTGCCTCCTTCGATAAACTTCATCGAGCCACGCCACGATCAAAGAAGCCAAGGGCCGTGCGAGGGCATTTAGCGGTAAAACGCGAAGGGCAGCCGTTCCTTGTGGCGAGAGGGAGGACGGGGGATGACCGATCAATGCACCCTGTGGTCGCAACGGCAAGGATCTCCATCACCTGCAGGACCGGTCAGGAGATTTCACGTCAAGTAAGGTATCTACCAACATATCTTGTGCCGTACTACAATACCAAGGGTAGCGGACAACTTATCTTGTTTTTATAACACCCTTGTCGTCCCAGTTATATTGTGGATGCCACTCTTTTCGCCTTTCGGTAGCGAGGAAACATCTCACTCACCTGCTAGCTGTCACAGGATCTACACCAAGCAATGGTCTAACTAGGTGGGTACCAAATCAGGAGCGCCAAGCCTTACATACTTTTGAGGTGGGACTACTACTGTACGGCGACAACAAACGTTCACTGCTGTGAACGTTTGCTCGCGTCGGCGTCAAGAAGGGCTGACATTTCTAACATGTGTGCCTGTGACCGAAAATTGCTGAAAACGGCAACTGCCGAGAATAGCGACAACGGGAGGAGAGCACGCTCGACTACAAGACTCTGGGGTTTCACACACACACACACACACACCCCTGGTCCCGTGAGAACGCGGCGTGCTCCGTCCCGGCTTTATAGAGATGCGTGGTCAATAGTCTGACGACTTACGGCATGCACGGCTACGAGTAACCCCCCCCCTTCCCCCCATAATAGCCCCCCC